CATCAAATTCGCCTTTTTGTACTGCTTGCTCGGAAATTATAACTTTTCATAAAGACGCTCAATCGGAGCAAACTTTGCACTGTTAGAAAGAGCTGGTGAAAGAACCTACAATACCGACTGCTCCGATTTTGTTGCAAGTTTCTGATTTTTTATGACCCTACACAAAAATTTGAATTTTGAGTGATTTTGTTTTGAGCTTCTATCTGTGCAACAAATGACCATTACTAAGCAGCTGGAATGTCATTATAAAGAGCATGACTTACCCTTTCACATAAAAGTGAAAGCAGTCACATCGGTTGGAAAAATCAGAAGTTATGAATTTTGAAAATCATGTGCAAAAACTTTCTGGACGACTTAATAAGAGCGAGGTGGAGCACGTTAATAGTAAAAAATGTGCTGTGGATTGACATCGTTATCAGCACTAACGGGAACGTGAGCGAACGCGTCTATTTGAGCGTGCTTATCGTTGTTATATGTTTATGTTTTTTTTGGTAATGCGCTTTTGATTGACAATTATGCTATCATTATTAGCACACACTCAAAAAACTATGGGAGATAGGTGAATTTCCATACCTTCACACAAAAATCCGCCCATTTCTGGAATCTATACTCTGTAAACCTAGTGCTGAAGAAGGTCACATTCGTGAAAACGCTCTAGACTCACCTTACTTAATTTGTAGAGAATGATTGGTTTCAATGAATCAAAAACTCTAAGACATTCAGAAGAATAACATGTTATTAAAATATTTCTCAATGTTTTGGAAAGGTTGGCAGTTTGAAGAGGAAACGGCGGGCAGAATACTTTACAAAATCGCAGATGACTCGCATATGTTCCAGTTCAACAGCGAGGCAGAAGGAGAATCTTACGCCGACGAAAATGTTGTCGACATTGATACAGAGTTGGCAGTTGAGCGAAACTCTCTGATTTCCTGCATAAGGAATCCAAGCAGATTGTCTAGTTTCAATGAGGAATTGTCCAGAGAGTCCATTGCTGATCTTCAGGTTGCTGAAGAATTCAAGGCTGCTAAATTCACAACCATGGATATGAACAAAAGGAAGGTGTTAGCACAAGCAAGTTGCTGCACTTAGATCCCGGCTGGAGTGCGAACTCAACTCTGTGCTTTATGCTTTTGAAAGTTATCCGCCTTGTGACAATATGACCTATGATATTGAAAAAAAAACCAACGCGCAGCATAGTACCTCCTTTTTTCGGCTATTCCGCAGATGCTGTTAAAGAAGAAGTTGAGCAGCTTTCTAATCAGCTAACAGGACGTATGCCAGAGGAGGTGAAGCCAGAGTTCGACAAGGCCCAAAAAGTATGCACTATTTCCTTCCCGTGCTGCGAAAGCATATGAGATCTGGCTCTTTTCCCATTACTTACCGCAAAAATCTGATGGACCTACTAGCAAAGCTAGTTTCCATTTCGACTAGCACGGCAGAGGTAGAGAAAGAAATTTTCTATCTACTCTATTATCAGAACACAACGCAGAAGTCGTACAACGAGTCAACTCTCTACTAAACACATTGTTATCTAAAAACTTCATTCAAAGGGTTGGTATAAGTGATCCAGACAGGCTGTTACCATATGACTTTTTGAATATCCTAAAAGATGGTATGAAGAAACTGGTCACCTACCTGCTGACTTCCTGGTGCTACCAGAGGGCCAGGAAAAAAATCACAAAAGCGCTTAGAAGAAGAAGAAAGTTCGAAATCCATTTTCGACTCAGAACGCTTTTGCACGCAATTCTGCTTCTACTCCGATGACCTTTTGGAGGAAGAAGAAGATTTTTTAGGCAGCGAATTTGTTGTCTCTGACGTTAGCGATAGTGATATTGTTGATGATGGTGTGCAGGAAATGAAGTTGTTCCTAACTTGTACATCTTTTGGGATAAACATTATTGCTTTCGTTTTTTGTTGATGCAGTGAAACAGGAGCACAGATCTTCATAATCAATTTTTTTTTAATTTTTTAATTTCTTTTGAAAATTTTTAAATTTTTTTTTCAATTTGTGCCTAAATAAGGTACAAATTAGAGCTCTTCATAGCACGCTTTTTTACCTTTTCTCTCTTCCTCCCCCCCCCTAGACTCACATACCCCCTTCACCCTGGAAGGTCGGGAACACCCGAGACCCCCTTCACCTGGGGAGAGCCCGGCTCCCCCTATCGCACCTATGTTCCCGAGCCCCGAGCCCGGGTATATACCACATATCAATCGGTCATTTCGATTCCGCGAACTTCTCTTGTAAGTTCCCCCACCCGCTTGACCCTACTAGCATTTCATCGTGCGATTGCGGCAAATGATAAGGCTGGCAGGTGATAAAGCTAACCTGGATCCTGGAAGAAGAAACGAAGGGGATGTTTCAAATCAAAGCACACAAGTGACCCCTTCACTTCCAAAGCAGGACCAGGAGCAGAGGAATGTATGTATAAAGAAGGAACTTGAAGAAAAAACCTTACCTCTTTGACCTTCAGCCGCATTATATTCGTTGTAGCTTGGTTCCTTCATAAAAAAACGATTCCTACTCTGGTTCTCACTAAAATTCAGAGAAGGAGTTTCAGTCCACTGTAAATACAATCTATGACGTAGATCAAATCTGTGGCAATGTTATAAAAATCGTCTGCCAAATCTGCTCGCCGTAGCTGGGCTGAAAGGAATCTCTACACGAATCAAGGATTATTTCAACGTAAGCACTGCAAAGACAAGTATAACTAGAGACAACAAGACTAAAGTCAAAATTGTGACTGGTTTAATCAACAACACGGAAAGATAAACGAGTAGAAACTCGCTGTCTACAGTTTTATTTCATTTTGAGTATTTTCTTCTAAAAAATCATACTGTCCCAAAAACTCACACTGAAATCAGAATCGTAAACAGCGCAGAAAACCCTCAGATCGATGTTGACTCCTCGTAAACCAATGTTACTTCTGAACTGTGATGTTGGTCCGAGTTGCTCCTTTAAATGTCTCAAACAGTGGGTGCCAGCAGCCCAGAGTCGAGCTCTCGGAGACGATGTCAATTACTTTGGCCTATGACCTCTATCTGTTAACGCAAAAATGTTGAGTACTAAAACTTCGTTTCCAATGTTCAGTGGCCATTTGAGATGAGACAAAGGTGCGACACAAAGAGGAAGAGACGATGACTTTTTTTATTGCTGTTCCTGCTGTTCATTTGTAGAATTTGTGAACGTAAGTGGACATATGGTATACTTATTGTTAGATAACAGTCTGTTGACACAAACAATATTGATACAACACACGAACTCGTCAGCCAGAGAGGAGAGCACTTCAGGAGCATCTTGGACAAGATTAGCGCATTAGCTCTATATATTTCTTGGTCTAAGCTCAATGATACCGGATAATTGTGATAACTTAATGTAACAATGACACGAAGATAAAAGCCATATTGATGATTGATGATTGAATGATCGGGGATCGCAGCGTTCATGTACTCGTCCTCAAAAAAATGTATGAAGATTAATAAAACATCTGAGACCTCTTACTGTAAGTATTTTTGTTTTATCTCACCAACCCAGCATCGGAGACTATCTAAGAGATTAAGCCTAATAGAATAGGGTATGGAAAAAGTACTGTACCTCGAATTTGTTCAAAATACACGCATCAAAAACTTAGTGAGCTTTTGTCCGTTATGTAATAGAGACCCTAGATAGTTTAAAGAGGCCATAGTTTTGGATTGGGTCCCTTTTTTTCGGTCCTTCACGTGAATGATGACCGCGAAGAAGTCATCAATAATGAGCAGCAGAAGAATGAGCATGGCTTTTCCGTAACGAAATCTGCATTGATGATTTTATCGCATTTAAATTGAAGTAGTTATGAAGCATTCCAGGATATTACAGGTTTTCGGATATGGGACTAAATTCCAGCCAAGCAAGGAAAATTGTGGCCCACACGCTTTGCAAAATCGCGCAAAAGCTTTCATATAGCCTGTTTCTGTTTTCGAAGCTGAACGTTAAACGCTTTGTACTTTGATACTGTATAGTAGACGTCATTCGTCTAGTCACCTCGGTGCGATGTGTGTTACTGCACACAATTTTGAAATCCGGATGAGGTGCGGGTTCGCGCCGTGCCGTACTTGCACCAGGTGCACGTACAGTACCGCTCTCAGAACGTGCAAAATTTCCGTGAATGTCGCGGAATTCCAGGAATTCCGCGACATTCCGGAAATTTCGCGAAATTTTTGGAATGTCGCCATAACTTCCTTCGGAATGCATAAATTATGGATCTGAAACAAGGGTTATACTCAACTCATTAAGGCGAATCTTTTGGTACCTTGCCTAACTGTAATTCTCCTGACGAGTGGTGCACGGTAGGAGATGAATTTTGCAGGTGCGGGCAGTAAGTGAATCCTTTTCCGATTTTTCTGACATTCTAGGGGGGGGGGGGGAGGGGAGAGTAATCAGTGGTATTGGGTGTGGTTAGTTCTAAAATATGCGAACATGCCGTGATGATGCCGTCGATGTTGTTTTCCCCTCTTCTGTTTGTTTAGCAGCCTCAAGCACCTATTTATTACCAGAAGGGGCATGAGCCCTCAAACCTGCAGAACCGACTGTGCAATGCCCACGCGCAGCGGATGCGTAGTCGCTACGGAAAAAGAATCACGTGGTCGACGCGAATTGTATATACTTGTAAATAATATCATGTAAACATACACAGATCGGCACAGTCGTACATGAAATAGGACATATTCTTGGCTTTCATCAAACGCACTAAGAATCGATCGTAACAAATATGTTATCATCAACATAGCAGTTGTTGAGGTAAGAAAGTTTGCTTATAATTTTGAAATCCAACCGGAGAGATTGGTTCTAAAGCGACGAAACGGAACAATTCACCATGGAAACCCATTCACAAATGAAAACTATGGAATTCCATACGATTTCGGTAGCGTAATGCATTACTCGGCGAGAAGGTATGTCTCCTTACGCTGAACCATCAAGATAGTAAATTTGTTGCAGCTTTGGAGTTAAAAATAAAATTGTGATAATGCCTGCCGATGAGAACTACCTAGAGACTATGGGTTCACCATTCGTTTCACTTTATGATCTGCTCATGATGAATATCCTCTACAAATGTCTTGGTATGTGTATAAGGAGAGTATTCTATATGACAAATGAGATGAGATAATGTTTGACAGATGGAAAGGAAAACCCGACTTGCTTAGATGCAAAATGGGAGGTTTCGCAAATCCTAGAGATTGCTCAAAGTGCGTTTGTCCCTCAGGATATGGAGGCAGGCTATGCGATCAACTGGTAAGACCTTCGATAAGCTTGTCCACTTCTTTACTCAAAGAAAACATAGCCCCTGGTTGCGGGAAAATACTGGAAGCTACCACTTCTTGGCAGTACTTAAATACAACCACCGGGTATGAAGGAGTAACAAGAACCGACCAGAAAGTGGATTTCAAAAAAATCTCATTACTGGATACAGGTTTTGATAAATTAAAATATCTGTAAAGCAAAGCACATTGCTTCCTTGCAGGCTCCTAGAAAAGGAAAGTAGAAATAAGGACTATGCACTGTTCTCCGGATGCGCTTAGCGAAGGATGCTTCTTTGGAGGATTTGAGATCAAATCACAAAGAGATCAAGGCATGACTGCTGGTTATAGGTGACTTCTATACATCTTACTATTTGCTTTATCAAGTGTTAGCTTATTTTGACACATGCACTGGCTTGTTGGAAAATGAGTCAAAAATGAGAGTTCTGTGCGACTGACGGATGCCAGTGCAACTTAAGTCCCAATTATACCAGACCGTTATCCGCCCAGCGACACTGTATGGCAGTGAGTGCTGGCCAAGTAGCGGAATGAGCGCAAGCTCAGTGCCGTGGAAACAAGGATGCTACGATGGACCTTAAGTCACATGAGTCACACTGATGGATCACATCTGCAGTGACACTATACGAGCGCGAATGAAAGTAGCTCCAACTATACTCCAACAGAAACTGCAGGAAAAGAGGTTACGATGGTATGGGTATGTGCAGAGAAGGGATGAAAGTCATATCAAAAAGTTGACAATAGCACCAGGCAAAAGGCGTAGAAGTAAACCCAGGATGAGGTGGATGGACAGAATAAAGGCCGACCTCTGCGAGAACTTAGTATAAACAAAACTTTGCCTCAGATAGGATGACATGGAGACATCTGACAAGAAAAGCAGACCCTGCTTAAGCGGGACACATGCAAGGATAAAAAAAACTGAAGAACAGATGAAGCGTTTTAATCCACTGTTGCATTTGCGTCTTTGCGAAGATTCTGGCAACTTTTGCTTGAATACGTCGTCATGCAAACAAAGTGTCAACTTTCGATCAGAAGTTTTCTCGAGCAGAAATCGAGATTTGAGATTTTGACTCGAAGGAGTGCTTACACCCACGGTTGAAGCTCGTTCGTCAATATCGCCTACACAAAGCTGACCATGCGTCCTTCACCACATTCGTTACAAAGGCTCAGCGTATCCGATACTTTCATACAGGTTGAATGAGTGCATGAAAACTCAGTAAACCAGCAGTTTTTTGAAACAACTTTTGTGCATTTTGAAGCAAAGAATGCAGCATAAATCTTCTCTTTCTAATAAGTGATAGCTCCCAGGTGTAACAGATGTTTCATATGTTGGTGCTGTAATTGTAAAAAATTTAGATCCAACGAATGTATATTGCTTAAAAAGAGGGGGTTTTTTAGCTGCTTTATAGTTGTTCCGCTTCGAATGACACTTCGAGCATTCGAACAAAGTACGCGGCGGCGGTGAGCGGCCTTGATTAGGTCACAAATCCTGCCTTCCAGCCGCCAAGCAGTGGAATCAAAGGTTAGCATATTATCAAAAATCCAAAAACATGTAGTAAAGTCCGGAACAGTCAATGACACAAGTTTGAGGACTTTCTTCTTTAGCTTTGCGTTAGATACTCGAGAACTGAACGCTCGATCAGCATAAACTTTGCCCGAAGATCATAAAGCATGTGCCAATAATTTCAAATGTTTGTGATCTTTCTGGATTTTTTACAAGTTTGCTTGGAATCAGTGTGAAGCTAAGTGTCTTTTTCTTTGCTTTTACCTCCTCAACCTACACTAAAGGTACATATTTTCTCATTCTAATGAAGTCATAGTCAAGCAAAACCATGCAAGTAAGAAGACGTTACAATTCTTCAAAAAGTTTGAGGACGAACTTAAATCCGACCTAATCTAATAATATAAAATCGTAAGCGAAGTTTAAAAATAATGGAAAAGCGGGAAATCGCGCTTCGGTCCCGCAACGACGTGCCTGAAAGCAGCTTTAAGGTAGGTGCCAGAGTAAGCGAATATTTTGTTCAGCTTCGTTCACTGCAAAAGGCGCGCAGAATTACTGTCTGCTGCTTAATGTCTAGGCCTGCTTCAGCTGCAGGTCCCGCGCGGAATTAGCGTTAATTCTGCGCGCCTTTTGCTGCTGAACGAAGCTGAACAAAATATTCGCTTACTCTGGCACCTATCTTAAAAGCAGTGGCTCGGCAATTCTCGAACTGAATTTTTCTCGCTTACCTAGGGTAGTTCGACGCGCTGATTTCGAAAGTGCACTTTTAAGAGCACGAAAATGTCAAAAACCAGCATTTTCCAAAGGTTCACATCTTGGATTTGGACGAGTGGACTATACTCTCCGCCATGGTTAGAAACGTAGAGTCGTTGCGGGACCCACACGTTTATAGCACTGCGACTGCTGCCTCTGACGGTGGGAGTGGGACCGCAAGCTCGTCCGAACGCGTGTAGGAATGGCTTGCGCGCACGGAATTAGGGGCTGTTTTCTAAGCAGGGCAGCATGTTGTGCGCTCGGACCGGCTCTGTTTTGATGTTTGAAACGCGAGCAATCTTCCAAATCAAAATTTCGAGATGTTTAGTTTTGCCGAAACTGCCTTTGAAGCTGCTTTCAGGCACGTTTTTCTCTTTCTGTTTTGTCTTTCTTTCTCTTTCTCTCTCTCCTCCCATCGCATGTAATTTGATGGTATGTTATGTTAAACAAGCATATTCACCAACTTTGGCTTCAGTATCTTATATGCGTTTGACTCATTTATTATCCGAGGTGTTGTCTGTGAGTTAGGTTGTTGTTGAAGTGCAATCTTCCATTAGTATTAGTATTATGTCTGGTTAACGACAACGATCTTTGTTTTTTGTTTGATTGGGGTTATTTGCAAGAAACCATTATCCGTCGGAATCCGGCGCTGACCTTAGCTACAGTATATAGCTAATGCGACCATAAAAGGCGACCCGGCTGCCTCTTACTTTTCATTGATCTTACTTATCAGATCATAAAGTGGTCCTGCATATGATATGATGTGTTGTTTATCCTCTGGGTCGTATATATAACTAATCATTTCGCTATCTGTATTCGAGTAATAAATGGGGACCTGAGTTTGCTAACAAATGATGGTGTTGATGGATGACGTAGAAGGGTCATTTACGAAATCTTTCGTTGTTAAGGATTTCAAAACAAGACTGTCATTGGTAAGGATGACTTCATCTCCCTGAACAGTGTACACTTGGGAAGCAGAACTCTTCTAACTTCATCAAATAAAACCCATTTTTATTCTGGCGAACAGTTATTGGGATATCTCGATAATGATAAATTCCATGAGAAATCCTAGAGAAACATCAGTTCCTTAGTGTTTGCACGTTATGGTATACTGAGAGAGTATCCAAGATGAGGAAAATTTTCAGTATCGTGAAAAGATCAGAGGTTAAACAAGACAAATGATAGTTTCAGGATGACCTAATTTTGTGGTAAGTAAAATTTATGTGTAATAAGTAAGATTCATAGCCAAAGGAAAGATGAGAAGCAGCTGGTCGCCTTTTATGATCGCATTAGCTATATACTGTAGCTAAGGTCAGCGCCGGATTCCGACGGATAATGGTTTCTTCATTTGCACTGCTAGAATGGTTAGCATGGATACTGGTAGACCCGCGGCTGTGGCTGCACCGTCCGTAGCTTTTGATTAATGGTGTACTACATCTTAGGTGTTTTTGAATGATAGGCTACCGACTGTTTTTTTTCATAATAGGAAGCACCAAAGGCAGAGTTTCCTTGCCAAATATCATGTCGAAAAGTCGAGCAAGTTGATACCATTTTTCTGCTTAGTACTCCTCTTTTCGCATGATGGTAGCCAACGTTATAGACATGATCATGCGTTTTTTCCGACACAGGGCTTGCAAAAAAGTGTGAAGACAGTTGAATGATTGTGATTGATATCTTGGGTGCTTGTTGTACTTTGTGTTGGTTTATAGCGGGTTCAATTTACATGTTATTTTCATTTCCCGAACTCATTCTATTAACGCTACAAGATTATCCTCTTGGCAGTGTGGGTTTGATCTGCAGTGAATTAGGTTCCGAATCGCAGGTGATCCAGTATGCTTCTCAAGGCCCTATGAAGTTGCTGTTCCACTTTGTAAAGAAGCGCTCGAAGATCTGGAAAAGACTAGCGGTCATGACCATCCTGACGTAACGACTATGCTGAACGTTCTTGCGCTGGTGTATAGGTCAGTGTCGTTGACTTTACAGATGTTAAATCGATCTATACACCTTTTAGGGACCAAAATAAATACAATGAAGCTGCTAATCTTCCTAACGAAGCGCTGGCCATCAGAGAAGAGTGCTTAGGAGGAAATCGTTCAGCTGTGAATATGCTTTTGTTATTATCACAACGCATGCTTTTGTTATTATCACAACACACATATGTGCATCATTATTGTTGTTATAACAGGGTGTCCGTAAAGTATTTATACACTGTTTGATCGTTAATATCTTTCTTCCCAACAGGTCTTTTGCCTTGCTTTAGGTACCGTTTTGTAGAGCTGGCTTCAACTTAGATTTGCAGTATAGAACGAATCAGCCGTCTCTCTTCATTACTGTAGGATTACGGTAGAAACTTCAAAGAGGGTTTTGGGCCATGAAAGGCCATATTTTGCCTCAGAAAAGAAACAAAAAGCCTGAAAATTTTTACACTAGGCTAGTTAGAGTTGCTGATTCTAACTATAAAGTTCCCAACTTATTATGATGCTTCACTGAAGAGTTATGCGAGGTAAGCAGTAGCGGCCATTTTTTCAATGTTCCTAAAAAAGTGCGGTTACACCGCTTAGAAAGCTTCGCAGTCTTGTGAATAGTTGAGTATTGAACTCAGCGTCCATAAAAATCCTATTACACATGTTTTCACAACTTTTTGAAAAATTATGAGACGGCAGCTTTTTCCACATTGACACCATATGTTTAAAGTTTCTACCGTAATCCTACAGTAATGAAGAAAGATGGGTGATTCGTTTTATAATGCAAATCTAAGTTGAAGCCAGCTCTACAAAACGGTACTTAAAGCAAGGCAAAAGACTTTTTGGGAAGATAGATATCAACGATCAAACAGTGTATACATACTTTACGGACACCCTGTATATCTATCTCTGGTCGCTGCCACTTCAAATAATCTGGAAGTATTTATGGCTAGCGGGAAAGTTCAAGGATGAGGAACCCCTGTGCAAGCGCGCTCTAGAAATTAGGAAAAGGAAGCTTGTAAAAGATTTATATAGAACGCACAATGACTTGTTTAAGGTGCTTGTTCATGACAACCTAGATACCCACAACCCAACTGAATAACTTAGCTTTGTTGTGTCAGAAGCAAGGGAAGTATGAGGAAGTGGAGAAGTACTACAAGTGAGCTTCATGATGTATTTGTCAAAAACAGATCTAAGTAATTATTACTGGCTTTATCTGGTCCATTTACAAAACAGTTTGCATGGATTTGGAGATGATTCTTTGTCCTATGGAAGCATTTTTAGGCGTGTTTTGAGATTTACGAAACCAAGCTCGGATCAGATGATCCCAATGTTGCGAAGACTAAGAACAATCTCTTATTAGCATATCTAAAACAAGGAAAATACAAGGTATTTGCTTTTGCTGTTCAAGTTTCGTTTTTTTGTATCATATTGCCGATGTAGTTGCATACGAAAAAAGACCAAATGTCAAGAGATACTACAAAATAGCCTTGTTTCGCTTGGCATCAGTTTTGCTCATCAAAAAAACGAAGTATTGGTTTGACAATAATGCATTGCTATATTGTTTCTTTCCATATTTCAATATCTGTTATCGTATGATGTGTGCAATGAGTGGTTTTTTCGTTTTTCAGCTACAGATGCTAAAAGCAGTCTCATCTTGCTAATGAGCAGGTAGCAAGGTTGTGCCCTACTGCTACAGCACATAAGTACGAGAAGGTTCATACACTTATAACACACTTCAGACGAGATGGGGTAAGATTCATAGAACCAGATATCTTACACGTGAAATAAATTAGCACTTTTTGAAAATATTCCGGCTGTATGTGCTCCGGCAAGAACTGAACCCTTTGAAAATTTACGTTGTGGCAGAAGGCAGGTATGAGGCTTATCTCAAGCAAAAGGAAAATACTGAACCTCCTGATAACAGAGCCTTGATCGTGGATCGAAATTCAATCCAAGTAGGACATGCGGTAGGTGGTTTGTCATTTTTTCTCGTGCTTATTTTGTTGGAAGCTGTCTTGCAATGTGATGGTTTCATCATGAAGCACACGCCTGATGCGATTGTTGTTGAGATTGGACCGGGAATCGTTGGAAGGATACAAAAGCTCTCTCATCGTGAGTATCGCCTCTATATATGACCAGTGCGTCACCTCCGCTTTGCGGAGGTTCGTACTGGCTCTCCTATCCGTATACCTTTCTCATGTTCGCATGAGAATGAGTTTCAAACTAACCACGCAATGCTGACCATCACAAATGAATCGTAAACAACTGTTCATTCCTGAAGCATCTCCATGTAAGATCGGCAATTTTGAGAAAAAAAGACTTTTTTGCAAGGAAACAAATGCGATTTTGAACGGATTACTGAATATGTTTTAGATCGATAATCGTCATAAGGATAATAGTCACCTTGGGCTATATTTCAATGCAAAAATCTTTTCAGTTTTCAAAATAAAACCTTGCCAAATTATGATTATGTACGCGTTTATCTTTTTGGCGCTTTTTTCGCAAAAAAGCAATTGGGCTAGAATTCATGGCGCGCTGAGTTACTTGTCAGGCAAATCATAGCTTTGCAAAAAGTCTAATTAGCGACCCAGTTTTGCGTGCCGAAAGGCGCGTGGACCCGTTTAACGCGCAAACTTTGAGGGACCCGCTTATCGAACCGGCTTGTCCTTGTGCATAGTGAGCCTACACGCTGGCGCGGTATGTTATGCAGAATTGCAGCTCGGTAGCTTAGCTGCAGCTTCCTCTATAAATTTCGTGACAGACATATTTTCACACAGACACACAAAAAAAAACAGACGGCCTTAGCGCGTTATTATAGTAGGATGGTTGCTGAAATGAAAATTTAGGGAAATTCCTAATACTCCGTTGAACTCGATTGTCACAGTAAAGGTTCGTAAGATTGATGCACAGGGAGTGCATCATGAGTGAAGCCCCTAAGCCGTGAAGGAACGTAAACTTGCTTTTTGAAAATTGTGGAATGAGAGAGTAGATATTCTTGCTTTTTCAAAAAACTGAGGTGTAGTAGAGTTATTGGCAAGTCAAGAGCTGGATGTATGACTTGATCTGGTGCTTTGCCTCAAGGCCCGATCACTTTACATTTCATATTATCTTACATCGAAGCACCGATCATTTCACATTTCTCTAAAATTTTATTTTTCTGGATAGGGATTGCGGTTTCTGTTGTTGTCCGTCTAAATGGTGAGCTACTCACTCTTGAGTATCTAATCACTCAAGAGTGAGTGGTACCTATGCGCCAGGAGTGTAGCCAATCGGCAGCATCTCCTTTCAAGCACCAACTCGTATACTTTGTACCCTGTTTTCGGTTTAGCTCCGCCTTTCTTCGTATATTAGGGGCCTCCGAATGTATTAGAGGTTCCTCCCCGGTTAACACCGGGACACCTCGACAATCGCTCTCAACTAACCTACACCAATTAAAATTTCACACAACTTCGTCTACCTTACTTCACTTGGTACACACCAAATTGGTGCATCGTCCAGTGAACTTCCTTGCATTTCCCCTTGGAAATCAAGGCCTACAAGACCCGCATGGCCGGACACTGAATACTGAACCTCTCGTTGCGCGCTCTTTTCGTAAGAGACCCGAGAGTAGTAAAAAAAACAGTTGTTGAGCCACACCACTGAATTTTGACACCCTCGTTGCGCGCTCTTTTCGTAGGAGACCCGAGGGCTAAAGAAAACATTTGGTTCCACAACTCCACTGCAAACTGAACCCCTTTCGCGAGCTCTTTTCGCAAGAGACCAGAGTGTAGTAAAAGACCAGCTGGCAGGTAACACCACTGAATATTGACACCCTCGTTGCGCGCTCTTTTCGTAAGAGACCCGAGAGTAGTAAAGAAAACAGTTGGTGCAAAACTCCACTGCAAATTGAACCCCTTTTGCGAGCTCTTCTCTAAGACACCAGAGGGTAGTTAAGGACCAGCTGGCAGTATCTAATCACTTAATTTCTGAAAACTCCTTTGCGCGCTCTTTTCGTAAGAGACCAGGGAGTGGGAAGAATTTTGTGCAGCACACACCACACATTCTGTGAAACTCTTTTCGCGCGTCCTTTTCGTAAGGAACCAGAGAGTGAATCAGTTTGTGTGTGCACTTCCAATATCACTAATCTCTTCGCGAGTCCTGCAAAGGAACCAGAATTAGAAAAAAGAGATTTCAACGGAAGAAAGAACAAGTCAAGAACCAAAAATCTTACTTGTTGAGCTTCGAAGTTCCACCAAGAACTCAAGCTATTTGTCACGGTACAGGTTCAACACACCTTACCGCCCAGCACAGCGTTCAAGCCAACCAGGCACGCTTGCTGACAACTAGTAGAAGCTCGGCACTCAATTGTCAGCTCACTAAACGACTTCCTTGCAACCAGTAAGGACAGTTTTCATACTAGATCAACCCTGCTGAGAATACAGAAGCTACACCGAAGCCCCAGCTTTCTGTCCACAGAAAAGTTCAAAAAGACGACACAAGGAGCATTACAAGATGACTTCACTCCAACTTTTCAAGATCAGGATCAACAACGCCTGCAAACTCGTGAAATCCCACGAGTCACAAATCGACACTATTGATCTTCCCTTTACATTCCCCCACTGAAGGATGAATGTGAGCAGTACATAGAAGAGAAAACGGGATTGATAGCCAATCTTCTCAACTCTCTACAAAACGCTGTGAAACTTCAAGAGACGCAGATTGACTGCAGTCGAGTACATCAACACACGACCTAGAAGTGACTATAGTGCAATGGCGAACAAGGATAGAATTCAGGCAGCATGAACTGAAAGAACAAGGCGCACTTTTGCACTGCGATACTCAAAGCGTACCGAGTCAACCAAGCAGTGATAATGGACAAGCCTGGATTCCGGAGCGCAACGAGAGGCAGATCAAAATACGAAAGCCTCTGCTCGAAATTCCTACGTCCTCTGGAAACTTCTGAGAATTCAACAGCTTCTGAACAGTATTCGAATCTCTCATTCACAATGACGAGGAAATATCCGACACGGACAAATTCTTGTTCCTGAAACAATCCCTGGAAGGAAAAGCAGCAGCAACCTTGAGCTGCATACGCGTCGTCGGAGAAAGATATCAGACAGCGATAGATATCTTGAAGAAACACTTCGATCCCTCTGCCAGCATGGCAGACATACTCATAAACGAGATTGAACACCTACCCAGGGCCTCAGATGATCCGAAAAGTTGCCGAGACACCTTCGAAGCCATAAACTCGAGGATCATTTACCTGGAGCAAACACGAACGAACATGAACGCAGACAGAGTTTGGCGTCGAATAATCTTCTCCAAGTTTCCCGAATCCATATGTGCGACCGCCATCCAAAGGAAGCTGTACAAGATGATCCATTTGACGTTAGCAAAATCCTAAACGCTATCGACAACATCATATCATTGCGAGAGACAATCTTGCTAACTACGGAAACTCTCTTTCCAACCGCTCGAATAACCAAGAAAATGAGAGGATTATCAAATGCAAAGGAACAGAACACTTCTCGAAACCAAAATGTTTGTGTTTATGTGGACAGCCACATTCGCCTTACGCGTGCCAGAAGTACACCACACCAGAAGCTCGACGACTTGAAGCAACAAACCAAGGAGCGTGTTGGAGATGTTTCGTAAGAAACCACACTCGAGCGTTTGTACCTATATTAGAGTATGCCCTAGTCAAGGGATCACACCACGGATCCCTTTGCTTGTCAGAAGCGAGACAACGCAGCGGATTCTTCGCGCAATCCCGCGATTCTATAGTCGACAATTATCAACATTTGCCTTCTTGGACACAACGTGACACCAACCAGAAATGTCGCGAGATGAGTAATATGCACGTCGTACAAGGCTCGCAGAATGAACAAAACGTCTGCAATCCACATGTGTCTCCAAGTGCAAACAATCAATGCGTTCTTCAAATGCTTCGGCCTTGATTTTCAACGAAGCTCAGTGGGATTACCAACCAACGACCATACTCTGAAGAACTCAAGCTTCCAATCGTTCGAACTACTTCTCTCACTACATCAGGGATGGGCGAACACGAAAAGCAATTCGACTCATCTGAAGTGCACATTACCTTGAAGAGTCTTCACAGCTCCGAGAAGCTCAAGAAGTCATTGCATACAGAGCAGAAGCTGACTACTGACATGCAGACGGCAAGCCTCACGGAAGCAGACTTGCGCTTCATCGATGACGAGAAGCTGATAATTGCTCAGGATACGCTCTCCCACAAAAACCTTCTACCGGAAATTAAGTCTTGTCATATTTCGAAACAAGAGAGTGCTAAAGCTTCCCTCAGGGCTCATTCTGACTCCAACAGTCTTCGGATACGTCATATTAGGGACGAGTCGTACCATCACTACAACAAAATCCGCTGGCATTTTCGGTCGCATATCAAATCATGTCATATCGCTACAGGAAACATCTCGACCAACAAAACTACAACACCTTCCTTCATCTAAAGGAAGACAATCCAGAAA